GGGTAGCAAATATGGCAGAAGAGAGAGTCGGTACAGGATGATCTTGACAGGCTGCAAAACTGGGCTAAAACAAATAAAATGAATTTCAATGGGGATAAATGTAAAGTTCTGCATTTAGGTAGGAAAAATCAAATGCATAACTATAGGATGGGGGAGACTTGTCTTGGCAGTAGTGTGTGCAAATTTATAGGGCAGAACAAAAAAACCAAGAATAAAGATGAAGGCCTTACAAGGTGCCAAAGAAAGAGCTGGGTAGGCGCCTGCAGATTGGCTCTCATACGACAGAGCAGCAATGCTGTGGCTAAAAGAATGGATTCCATTGGGAAACACCAGAGAGCATTAACTTTAGGGGGGGGGGGCATGAGCTATTACTGTTGCGATGCTCTATTGTGATGGCCAATGGCTATGTGCAATAAACTTTTGTACTGGACGGGGTACTCAACCGGCTGAAGGTGTGCCCGCACAGGCGTCCCGTCAGCAGGTTGTGTTGTTGTTGTTCAGTCACACAGTTGAGTCCGACTCTTCGCGACCCCATGGACCAGATCATGCCAGGCCCTCCTGTCTTCCGCCGTCCTCTGTAGTTGGCTCAATTTCATGTTTGTTGCATCTATGACAGTGGTCCAACCATCTCATCCTTTGCCGTCCCCGTCTTCTTTGACCTTCAGTCTTTCCCAGCATCAGGGTCTTCTTCTCCAGTGAGGGCTCCCTTCTCATTGAGTGGCCTAAGTATTTGAACTTCAGCTTCAGTCTCTGGCCTTCCAGGGAACGGTCAGGGTTGATTTCTTTTAGGATTGACTGATTTGTTCTTCTTGCAGTCCAAGGGACTCTCAAGAGTCTTCTCCAGCACCATAGTTCAAAAGAATCTATTCTTCGGCGCTCGGCCTTCCTTATAGTCCAACTCTCGCAGCCATACATGACTACTGAGAATACCATTGCTTTGACCATGCGGACTTTTGTTGGCAGGGTGATGTCTCTACTTTTTATCATGCTGTTTAGGTTCCCCATCGCTTTCCTCCCAAGGAGCAGGCGTCTTTTAATTTCATGACTACTGTCACAGTCTGCAGTGATCTGGGATCCCAGGAACGTGAAGTCTGTCACCACTTCCACGACTTCCCCTACTATTTGCCAAGGAGTGATGGGGCCGGATGCCATGATCTTAGTTTTTTTGATGTTGAGCTTCAAGCCCACTTTGGCGCTCTCCTCTTTTACTCTGAGCAAGAGGCTCTTTAGATCCTTTTCACTTTCAGCCATTAGAGTGGTATCATCTGCATATCTGAGGTTGTTGATCTTTTCCCCAGCAATCTTAATTCCCGCTTGTGATTCATCCAGGCCAGCATTTCGCATGATGTACTCTGCATATATATTAAATAAGCAAGGCGACAATATACATCCTTGTCGTACTCCTTTTCCTATGCTGAACCAATCAGTTGTTCCATATCCGGTTCTAACTGTCGCTTCTTGGCCCTTATACAGGTTTCTCAAGAGACATGTGAGGTGGTCTGGTACTCCCATCTCTTTAAGGACCTGCCATAGTTTGTTGTGATCCACACAGTCAAAAGCTTTAGCATAGTCAATGAAGCAGAAGTAGATATTTTTCTGGTACTCTCTTGCTTTCTCCATAATCCAGCGAATGTTGGCAATTTGATCTCTAGTTCCTCTACCTCTTCGAAACCCAGCTTGTACTTCTGGTAGTTCTCTATCCACGTACTGTTGAAGCCTAGCTTGTAGGATCTTGAGCATGACCTTGCTAGCGTGTGATATGAGTGCAATTGTGCGATAGTTTGAACATTCCTTGGCATTGCCCTTCTTTGGGATTGGAATGTATACTGATCTTTTCCAATCCTGTGGCCACTGTTGCGTTTTCCAAATTTGCTGGCAAATGGAGTGCAGCACTTTAACAGCATCATCTCAGGGGGTGGGGGTGGGGGTGGGGGTGCAGATCCAAATGGCTGCCCTCCGCCTTGGCTGAGAGCCCGGCAGAAGAAGGAAGAGCTCCGTCTCACAGGCCCTGCAGGACGGTCCCGGGCATTCCACCCCGGGGGGGGGGAGGGGGGGGCAGGGCCGAAAAAGCCCCAGCCCCCGTTGACACAAGGTGGACATCCTTCGGGCCAGGGACTGTCGGGACCTGCTGCTTCCTGAGAGCCAGTTTGGTGTCGTGGTGAAGTGTGCGCAGACTCTAACCTGGGGGAACTGGGGTTGCTTCCCCACTCCTCCTCCACTTGCACCTGCTGGATGACCTTGGGCAAGCCACGGTTCTGACGAGAGCTCTCTCAGCCCCACCTACCTCACAGGGTGTCTGTCTGTTCTGGGGGGGGGGGAGGAGTTTGTAAGCCCCCCCAAGACTCCGAGTGAAGGGCCATGGGGTATAAATCCAATCTCCTCCTCCTCGTCTTCTGAGAGCCAGTTTGGTGTAGTGCTTAAGTGTGCGGACTCTAATCTTGGAGAACCAGGTTTGATTCCCCACCCCTCCTCCACTTGCAGCTGCCGGGTGACCTTGGGCAAGCCGTAGTTCCATCAGAGCTGTCCTTGAAAAAGAGCCGTTTCTCTCAGAGCTCTCTCAGCCCCACCGACCTCACAGGGTGTCTCTGTTGTGGGGAGGGGAAGGGAAAGGAGTTTGTAAGCCGCTCTGAGACACCTTTGGGTAGTGAAGGGCGGGGTATAAATCCAATCTTCTTCTCCTCCTCTTCTTCCTCCTCTTCTGTGAAAATAAATGCTGACTGGTCCTTGTTGATCTTATTAGCTTCTGGTTTCTGGGGTGATGCGGCTGTGGGTGTTCTTTTTGTGCTGTGGAATAAGGTTTGGTGGGGGCAACAGACCGTTTCTCTCCCCCTTTGGTAGGGCCCCGGTTCTTGGGCGCCTGAAGCCAGGTTGAGAGCAGCAGGGGAAGACAGGGGCTGAATCCAAGGGAGAGCACCTGAGAGCCCACCTGCAGAGGTGAGGGTGACGAAACCTTGGTTTCGGCTGAGTTTCTCCGGGCCGCCCGGGACATGGTAGGTCCTAGGATGCAACCCCCGGAAGGCCGTGGTTTGTCATGACACTTCATGCTGTACGCTAACAAAGTCTTGCCTGATAGAGCTGTGGCAGTCCTTGAATGCAGCCGTTACGATAGAATCTGAACCCAGCAACATCAGAACTGAGCCTTGGTCATGATTAATTTGATCTGACCTCCTCCAAAGATGCAGACAAAAAGCGTTTGAGGGTTGTGATCTGTCATTCAGCACGGCCGAATAAGACCTGCGCGGGAGAACTTGGTGGGTGGCAGAGCAGGACTGCGGGTGACCACGGGGTGGAAGGCTCTCGGGGCAGAGGGCTGCCATTTGCAGTGTGCCACCACCTGGGGAGGGGAAGGGAGGGGGCAGGCAGGGGAGGCCGTTCCCACCAAAGGCACAGGGGGCAGGCAGGAGGGGCGAAGGGAGGGGCGAAGGAGGGCAGCGCACCGGCCAGCTGGGCCCAAGTGGGGGGTGGCTGAATCAGGGGCCGCGGTGCCAGCGGGCATTGTTGCCAGTCCTCCGGGGGGTCACTCATCATCTCGTTGAATCCCCTGAAATCTCCCTCCACAGCTGGAGCACCTGGGATTTCCGTGTCCTTGCCTGAAGCCAGAGATGCTCTTGGGCCTGGTCTTTTGCTTCTCGGCCAGCGGCCGTGTCTCTTTCACCTCCACGAGCAGGGTGCCCGTCTAAGACAACAGTGTGGTCAAGCCAAGAATAGCCTCCCAGGAGGACCAGTTCAGGCCATGAGCCATGTGACAGTGATGTGGATGGATCCAGAGGACCCAGCGTGAGGGGCCTGTGAGTCAGGCCGAGAGCAGGCCGGCCTCTGAAGCAGCCACAAGGAGTCCACACTGGTGGCAGAGGAGCGAGGGGAGTTTGTCTCTTCCTTAGTGACGAGGGGCTGGTGGCCGGGATGCAGGAGAGTTCCTGCTGCTAAAGAAAATCTTGGCGGCTCTAAGTATCTGCTTGCGCGGTCACGTCAGGACCCTTGTTAAACGCAGCGCCCGCTTCTCTGTGCACAGGCTGCTGTGGCCAGCAGGAAAGACGCGGGGCGATGTGAGTGCTGGTGGGGAGGGCTGTCCGGTCTAGCTTTGGATGAAAGATTTGGGGCAGGTTTACAAAGATGTAATAGCTGATTACAGACAGTAATTGTTTGTCTCCGCTGGATCCTGTCTGCAGTTGCTGTGACACAGTCGTTTGCGCAGACGGCCGTTTGCCCTGGGAGCCCTCAGGACTGTGGGCCAGAGGGCAGCTGACGGGCCAGGCTCCTCCCAGGGGATCCCATGCCCCTCCCCCCCCGGGCCCAAGACCTGCCCTGATTCCAAGCGCTCCTCTGCCTCGCGCCAGACTGGTCCCAGGTAGGCGGGATTCATCCCGTGCTCTGTCTGAATGACCTGCCCTGGTGATGTTTCCTTCGCCTGGTATTGCCCGGGGACTCTGCACCAGCGGCTTGGCTTGGCTTGGCTTACTCATGGTTGTTCCCAGGGCTACTTCTGGGCAGGAACGCACAGGAACGGAGTTCCGGCTGGCTTCAGAGTTGGCCACGCCCACTACGGCCAAAACCGCTGCGTGTGCCTGGCTACAGAGGGGAAGGCCTGGAGAGCGACACACACACACACACACACACACACCCCGGCGACTTCGAGGTGAGGGGGCCGGGGGGGGCCCTGGAAGGATCGGGGCGCCCAGGCAAGCCAAGAGAAGGCATGGAGTGTGGCCTAATAGGCGAATGAGCTGTGCTGTTGGGGGTGTGGCCTAATATGCTAATGGGTTTCTGCTGTTGGGTGTGGCCTATTATGCTAATGAGTTCCTGCTGGGCTTTTTCTACAAAAAAAGCCCTGGTTGTTCCAGATGACTAGTGCTAGTGGCTCATGTCAAAATTCAAGCCAGTGGTTAGTTGTCGTTTTTGATTTTGTCATAATGAGGCTTCCTGCCAGAGACCTTCTCCTCCCCACCTCCCAGCGAAGTCTCCCTCCGGCAGGCTTCTCGACCACTTGACTAGGGTGCAAATCCCACTTCCTCCAGAGCCGGCCATTCCTGGACAAACATGCTAATGAAACACAGCGTCGTCTGGGCCAGCAGATAGCGAGGCAGGTAAGCAGGGCTGTACGTGTGTGTGTGTGTGTGTGTGACGGTGTACTCTCCTAATTCTCGAGCTACAGTGGTGGGGGGGAGTGGCCTCCAAACACATTGGCAGAAAAGCAGAATACCAACACTGTTATCGGGGAAAAACCAGTGGGATGTTACTTGGGGGTAGTTCCAGCAAAGAAGGGGGAGAAAGAAGACTAGTTGGCCCCATATTGTTACCCCAGAATACAGCCTGAGCGCTCTGATCAAAAGAGAAATGTCCAATTTATGTTGCTCTTGGAAAAGTAGTGAGCTTAATTTAATTGTGTGTTATGAAAGGTTCACATTTCTTGCGTTGCCCATTTATCCTCTTTTGAACTGAGAAAATAGGTGAAGTTGTTGAATGAACTTTGCTGGCTAACAATTTCCTTTTATAACATAACGTGATGGCTTTGTACTTCAGTATAGGAGCTGGACAGGTAATAGTGTCGTCTGGGTGCAGTCAAGTGAGATTTTGTTTCTGTGCCACATGGGCTGAACATCCCCCCTGAACCCCCATTCAGGTGTGAGAGCCGGTGGTGGACAGGTAACAGTCACCTGGGCACTGCAGCTCCTGCCTCTGTTTTCCTCTGTTAGTTTTCGGCACACCTTCTGGGACTTGCAGAGCTAAAGGAATGGCTGACCCTGCGTGGCCTGCAGGTCGGCTTCCTGGCACCGCTTGCTGCCTTGTCAGCGGATGCCAATGACCCCAAATGTTGGGGGAAATAGCAGATATTTCCCAGGATGATTTTTAAAAAATTATCTGGAATCCTCAGCTTTCCTGTTGAAAAGAAAATTGAAATAAGGTGCCAGAGGGGTGGAGTTCCTGGGACTTTGTGCAGATTTGCCACTCACCCCACCTTTCCATCTCTGCCTGGCCAGTTTGGTGTAGTGGTTAAGTGTAGTGGTTAAGTGCGTGGACTCTAATCTGGGAGAACTGGGTTTGATTCCCCACTCCTCCGTGAGCAGCTGCTGGATGACCTTGAGCAAGCCATAGTTATATCAGAGCTGTTTTTGAGAGAGCTGTTCTTGAAAGACCTCTCTCAGCCCCATCTGCCTCACAGGGTGTCTGTTGGGGGAGGGGAAGGCAAAGGAGTTTGTAAGCTGCTCTGAGACTCCGAGTGAAGGGCGGGGTACAAATCCAATCTCCTCTTCTTCTTTCTCCATCTGTTTCTGACTGTCAGGTACTTCAATAACTCAGCATCAACAGCAGGTCCTTAAACAAGTTCAGCTTTATTGATCAGAGCAAGATGAACTCTACTTAGAGTCTCTGAGTCAGGAATGAGGCATACAAAATGGCAATAGTAATTCTAGTGGGTTCATACAATACCCCCTGACACCTAAAAGCCAATAAGTAACGGTTCAGGGGTGAGCTGGGGGAACAGAGGCTTCCCGCCGAAACGGGGCAGATAAGGAGCAGAAGTGAAACACAGCTGTAGAGCACCGCACATTCCAGAGACAGGGAAGAAAAGAAAAACAAACCCATGGCGGACCCCGGCTTGTCGGGGAAGCAAGAGTGGAAGAGGTGGACCAAGCAAGGGGCCTGCATGTCAGAAGCTTTAACCCATTCCCTGTGGTCAGGAGCAAAATCAACCCATTCAGCCAGATAATACAAGCAGTTATGCTTAAAGCGAGAATCCAAGATCTGGGCAACTTCAAAATGCAGTTGACCATCCACCAGTCTGGGGGGGGTGGGGTTGGGCCCGGGCTGGGCGCCTGAGGTTCAACCCCAAATCTTTCCTGAGGAGAGAAAAGTGAAACACAGGATGAACATGTTTAAATGTCTTAGGAAGGTCCAGTTCAACAGTGACATACAGCAAAAGGACCTATGAATTTCCAACCCTATTTACAGCTAGGTTGTAAGAGTCAAGTTCTTAGTGGAGACATACACCTTGTCCCCAACGTACACCTCCTAAGCTGGGAGACGTTTACGGTCAGCCTGGGCTTTATAGGCTGCCTTGGCTTTGTTCAAAGTCTGTTGTAGGAGCGGCCAGGCATCCTTAACCCGGCGCCACCAGTCATCTACGCCCCCCTCCCCCGGAGTGTCTGTGGGCAACCAGGGAAGGGGCGAGCCTTCATAGCCATGCACTGCTTGAAAAGGGGAGACCCCTGTGGACGAATGTACTACGTTGTTGTAACAATATTCTGTGTACGGGAGTAACTCTGTCCAGTCATCCTGTTGAAAATTAGTGAAGCAACACAAGAATTTCTCCAGGGTCTGATTAACCCATTTGGTCTGTCCGTCTGTCTCTGAGGGCCCATTCAACTCCAAGGGACCTCAGCAATTCACCCAAGAATGTAGTCACAAATTGAGACCCCCTGTCAGAAACCACCTTCAGGATTGAATGGAATTTGACAATGTTATGCATAAACAATTTGGCCAGTCGTTTGGCAGTAGGCAGTTGCTTCAGAGGGAAAAAATGTTCTTGCTTAGAAAACATATAAACAACCACCCAAATAGTTGCCTTCCCCCCACTAGGAGGCAAATTTGTGATGAAGTCCATAGATACCGACTTCTCACGGCCGGGTAGGAGTCAGCAGAGGTTGCAATAGTCCTGGAGGCTTACCCGGGCGGGGTTTGCACATGAGGCAAGTGGAGCAGGACTGTACGTACAAGGAAATGTCTTTTCGCATGCGCACTCACCAGAACTGCCTTTGTAAAAGATGCAATGTCTTTAGATAGCCAAGATGACCCGCCGGTTTAGATCCATGAACTGCTGCCAACACCTGGCTGCACAAGGTCTTGGGTACGAAGAGGCGATTGTCTTTATACCAACAGCCATCTTGCCTCTGTTCCAGACCCCTGTCCAACTCAATTTCCGAGTGATCAGAGTCAGAAAAGGTGGAGGCAAATTCAGTGGACCAGTCCCTCCCTCCTACATCCATTTCCGCTTTCGCCATACTACGTGTGACAACTGCCACACCCAGTTGGGTGGGAGTAAACATCGAGTCTACCACTCCCTCCCTTTGACTGTCGTGTTGTGGGAGGCGCAAAAGGGGCGTCAGGTACGGAGTTTGCCTTTCCTGGGAAGTAGTGAAGCGTGAATTGGAAAGAAAGAAATTAGCCCACCTCAGCTGTTTGGCATTAAGGTTATGGGGCATGCGGAGGACTTCGAGGTTTTTATGATCAGTCCAAACCTCAAACAGCACCCTCACCCCCTCCAAGTAGACAGGGTGAGCTGGATGGTTCCAGCCTCCTTGTCCCAAACAGCCCAATTGCGTTCAGTGGCATTAAACTTCGGCGAAACATAAGCTAACAGGTACAGTTTACCATTCTTCCCCTCTTGCAGGATAGCCCCTCCCATGACCACATCCAACACGTCCACCTGCACAACGAACTTTTTGTTTTCATCCGGATGGGCCAACACCGGATCAGAGGTGAACAACAATTTAAGATTCTCAAAGGCGGCCTGACATTTGGAGGTCCACGGTAGCCGCACACTGGGTTTGGTGCTATCCAGTCCCTTCCCCTTAGTTTTGAGCAAGTCGGGGGGGGGGCTGACCTGGGCAAAATTTGCTATAAAATTTCAGTAAAAATTTGAAAAACCGAGGAAGGATTGGAGTTGCCTCCGCGTGCGAGGGGCTTCCCACCCCAGGACATCCCACACTTTGGCCGGGTCCATTTCCAAACCCCTAGGGGATATGCAGTAACCCAGAAAGTCTATTTCCTCCTTGTGGAATTCGCATTTGAACAGCTTAGCAAACAGCTTATGTTTGTACAAAGTCTGAAGTACTTCCCTCACCAGCTTAATGTGGGATTGTTCATCTGGGGAGTACAATAAGATGTCATCCAAGTAAACAAGGGCCCCCCTGAACAGGTGCTTGTGCAACACTTCCATTGATAAGGTTCATGAACACCCCAGGGCCCCCCTGAAAACAGAACGGCATGACTCAATATTCAAACAGCCCCAGCGGGGTATTGAAAGCAGTCTTATATTCATCCCCCTCCGTTATGCGCACCCGGAAGTACGCATCCCTCAGATCCAGTTTGGAAAGGATTTTTCCTTTTGCCGCCTCAGCCAAAAGATCCTTTATTAGGGGGAGGGGGTAATCATTCGTGGTCGAGACGGCATTCAGACCTCTGTAATCCATGCAAAGGCGGAGACCCCCGTCCCTTTTCTGGAATAAAATGGGAGCGGCAAACGGGGAGGAGGCGGGGTGTATAAAACCTCGGGCTACGTTTTTTTCAATAAACCACCTCAGCTCCTCTTTCTCTGTGGGGCTCATGGCGTAGAGCTTACCCTTCAGTAACTTTTGCCCAGGCAGTAGCTCAGTGGCACAGTCCATGTTGCGATGCAGGGGCAACTCATCAGCCGCCTCCTCCTCAAACACCCTGGCCAAGTCTTGATAAGCTGGGGGAACAGCCCGTAGCTCCTTCGTTGCCAGACCCGCCCATACCGGCTCATCAGGAGGAGTAGGACCCCAAGTGGGGTCCCAGCCATGGCTCTGACACTTGGGGGAGATGAAACACATCTTCCCTTCGTTCCACAAGATATATATGGGTCATGGTCGTGTAACCAGGGGCTCCCCAGCACCAACAGGAATCTCGCAGCAGGGGTGATAAAAAATGGACAATGCTCCCAGTGGTCCCCCGCTCCCATTCGCAATGGTATTTACATGGCTCTTTAATGGAAGAACCATCCATCTGCGTGAACACTATGGGGTCCGACAACTTTTCCACCGGGGCTCCCAACCCCGTTACCAGTGAGGGGTTTATCAAGTCTCTGGCGCACCTGAGTCAATAAGGGCTCTCACGTGTACATGAGTGCCCAAGTCTTGATTCATCAGTCATAGTAACAAAAAATGGGGGGGGGGGTAATTGCTCACCATACGTGGCGCGGGGGGATGTTGGACCTGCTGCTCAGCACCACTTACAGCAGGTCCCGGCCAATGCTTCCTCTAAGCTGTGGAGTCTTGTGAGCAAAAATTCTACTTTGTGAGCTACTGGCATTAAAGTTATGAGTGAGCGATTTTGCTACTGCATAAATTAGTTTGCTCTGGAGCCATCTTTCCTGAGCGAAGACAAAAATGTGTGAACCAGAGGCTAAAAAACTGTGAGCTAGCTCACACTAACTCCGCTTACAGGGAACACTGGTCCCACCCTTTTCCCGCCGGCTCTTCCTCCTCACTGGTGGCGGAGCAGGAACTCTCCTCTGCTACTCCAAACTAGAGGGCCCGTTGTACTTTGGTTTTCGCGGTCCCCGGAGTAGACGCTCCCATGGCCCCAGGGCAATCGGCAGCAAAATGCCTGGCCTCTCTGCAATGGAGGTACAGCCCTTGCTTCATGCACATCTCTTGGGTGCTTCCTTCAGTTTTGGGACCTTCGGCTTCACTCCTGTGGACCCTATCTGGGGTGCCTGGGCAGGCCCATCTATCTTGATCATCTGGAGCCGGGCCTCTGCATCAGCAGCCTCTCACGCCCATGCGTTGGAGGAGACGGGGCGCACGCTCCGCAATATGATTTCATGGATTTCGGGGTGGAGCCCCACCCGGTATTGCTCCGCAAGCACCCCATCCAGCCACCCATGCACTTTGGCTGCATACCTCTCGAACTCTTCAGTGGACTCTCAAACCGTGCGCCTGCCTTGCTTCAAAGTGTGCTAGTAGTTCTGGGTGCGCTCACTTTCCATTGGGTCTTCATACTTAGTTCTGAGGGCCCATATGAACGCAGCTACTTCCTGTAGTTCGGGACCCCTGGCATTGTGCAGATCCACATACCAATCCATGCCCCCCCCCCCGAGTTGTCCCACCGTGTAGTCCACTCTTCGGGCATCAGTAGGGAACAGATGGCCCCACGTCTGGATGGACTTCTCCACCTGCACCACAAAAAAGGCCAGTTTCTCCGGGGTACCATCAAACTTGGCATCGAATAACCCCTTCGGTAGAATATCTGGCATCCTAGGTCCTGGAGCAGGACCTGCTGGAGCCAGACCTGGCACTGGTTGGTTCGGGGGGGGGGGGGGGGGGGGCAGCGCGGCAGCGAAACTGGTACCTGCCGCTGCTGCTGCTGTTGCAGGCGCATCTCGGCTTGCACCAACTGTGCTACCATGCCTGGAATTCCTATCAGGGCGTCTTCCACCACCTGAAGCAGCCGGTCCTGGGCTTGCTCCATTCAGGTGAGGCGTTCCTCCCAACCCTTCTTTTCCTCTTTGTGGCGAATACGTTCCCCTGTCTCGTGGGCTGGTTGGTACTCGTAACGGCTTCCTCTTACTGGTCCGGGAGTCAGCATCCAGGACTCTTGAGCGGTCATATTGAACGTGGACCACTTGAACCCCAAGGGTCCCCTCTATCTCTGACGGAGGAGCCCTTCTGTCACTCCCAGCCCCAGAGATACTGGGACCTGCAGGGGCATCATCGTCAAAGGAACTGTGGTGACCAGTGTGGTGGTGACCAGTGTGACTGTGGTGACAGGTGCAGTAGTCATCAGTACAGCGGGTTCCTTAGGTGTCCGTTAATCCTCTTCTTCACCATTCATTTTGGCAACGATATGGGTAGAGGAGAGATGGATTCCTGACTCTCTGTCAGGTACTTCAATAACTCAGCATCAACAGCAGGTCCTTAAACAGGTTCAGCTTTATTGATCAGAGCAAGGTGAAGTTGACTTAAGACTCTTTGAGTCAGGAATAAGGCATACAAAATGGCAATAGTAATTATAGTGGGTTCATACAATACCCCCGACACCTAAAAGCCAATAAGTAATTAGTGCGGAGCACACTGCAACGGTTCAGGGGTGAGCGGGAGGATTCGCGCCGAAATGATGAGCGCTCAAGGCCAACAGGCAGATAAAGAGCAGAAGTGAACCACACATTCCAGAGACAGGGAAGAAAAGGGAAAAAAAAACATGGCGGGACTACCTGACACTGTCTAGGTTTTAGCTCATACAGTCAGTGGAGGAATGAGTGCAGGATCTCCCAGTTTGGTTGCTCATCTCCTCCTGTGGCGGCAATCAAAGAAGGCCGTCTCAGCGCCCTGTGCCTGCTCCAGCTTTCTCTCCGGGTGCTGTGCTGGGGGGGAAGGGACCCTGGTGGCAGGAACTTGGTGGCAACGGCTTTCCACTAAACAGATTCAGGGTTAGACTGTCTGCCACGCCAGCCTCTGTTACTTTCTCTTAGTTAGAAGAAACATTCTGATTTTAGTGCACCTGCAGTGAATACATTGGGGGAGATATATTTATATCTTCAGACGGAAGATGCTAATCTCTTGGTTTTTGCCAGCTGTTGATCTATTTGGGCTTGTGTGCGACAGTCATGTGTCGTCTTGGATTTCATGGGCTGTTTTTATACCCTGGATATCTCTAGAGGAAGTACAAAGCTGCCAACATTCTGTGCCCAGGTCAAGAGTGCTGTTAATGATTAGCAAACGGTACGTTCGTCTATTGCGCGTACATGTGCAGCCTTGGAAATATGTCCATTTCCTTCTGCTTCCAACTGAAGGAGACATGGCTGTTGTTATACAAGTGGTTACACTTCCTCCTTTTCCTGCACCCTCTTTGTTTCTAGCTGTCATTCTTCATGAGCCTTCCTCCTTTGCTAGATTGCTGGTGCAGAATACCGTTGGCCCTGATATTGTGTGTAGATGGTATTGAGAACCAGGCCGAGGTTGAGTGTTGCTGGCCCTGCAGAGTCCGAGAAGCACTTCAGTCTTATCTCAGGGAAGTGTGTTCTGGGTTCTGTAAGAGCTCCTGCCAGTAGTTTGAACCCTTTCCCCATCATGGCTTCTGAATTCTTGCAGGGGATATGATGGAGGACAGTGAAGTTCACACCGGTGGAGGGAATTTTCCCTAAAGTGCTTAAGGAAGTGGTGATATGACCTTGAAAAAGCCGACCCCTGGATACCCAAGTGTTAGCTAATTATAGGCCAGTCTCTCTCGCTCTTTCGGGGAAAGACTGAGCACACAGCGGCTGAAGCTGATGCATCTGCGTTTGCCCAATTTCAGTCAAGCCTCAGCCTTGGCTTTGAGACAAAAATGGTGGTGGCCTGGGGAGGCAGTCTCTGCACACAGCTCGATAAGGGAGATGCCTCCATGCTGGGCATCCTGGAAATCTAGGCCACTTCTGATACCTGCTACTCTTGGGGGGCCAGGCGTGATGTGGTCCACGGGGTTGCGAGGAGTCAGACTCGACTGTGCAATTGAACGACAACAACTCTTGGAAGCGTTTGAGATCAAATGTATTGATATATTTATATTCTGCTTTTCCTCTTGGCTCAAGGTAATGATTAAAACATTAGAAATTAAAACCACATAAGTTTATTTTTTCCCAAAAACCCCAAATACCGGCCTCTTCCCCCATAAAATATAAAAAGCCCTGCTGGATCAGACCAGTGGTCTATCTAGTCCAGTGTCCTGTCTCACCCAGTGCCTAACCACTTCCTTTGGA